CTCGTGATCACCGTCTTTATGGGGCCGGGCGCCTTCTCCTGCCCGAAGGACTGCCATTACTGCCCGAATCAGCCCGGGGTCGCGCGGTCGTACCTCCTGAAGGAACCGGCGGTGCTGCGCGGGTTTCGCAACCGGTGGGATCCGATCCAGCAGTTCTACGACCGCGCGAGCGCGCTGGAGATCAACGGGCACGTGGTCGACAAGATCGAGCTGATCATCCTCGGCGGGACCTTCTCGTTTTACCCGAAGCCGTACGTTGAGGAGTTCCTCGCCGCGTCCTTCTACGCGGCGAGCACCTATTACGACGCCGTCCCCCTCCGCCCGGTGCAGGGGATTGAGGAGGAGATCACCCTCAACGAAACGGCGCGCTGTCGGATCATTGGGGTGACCGTGGAGACGCGGCCGGATTACATCAACGCCGCGGAGCTCCGGCGGTTTCGCCGCCTCGGCGTTACCCGCGTGCAGCTCGGCATTCAACACCTCAACGACGACATCCTCACGATGATCAACCGCGATTGCCCGACGATTAAAACGGTGCACGCGATCCGGCAGCTTCTCGACGCGGGGTTCAAGGTCGACGCGCACTGGATGCCGGATCTCCCGGGCAGCAGCTACGAAACGGATCTGGAGATGTTTCAGACGCTCTTCTCGCCCGAGAACGAGTCGTTTCAGGTGGACCAATGGAAGGTCTACCCCACTGCGACGGTGCCGTACACGAAGATCAGCGAGTGGTACCGGGAGGGGAAGTACAAACCCTACGCGGAGCTTGAGGGGGGTGCGTATATGGTGAAGTTGCTCGTCTACATCATGGCGAACTGCCCGTATCGGATCCGCCTGAACCGCATCGTGCGGGATATCCCCACGAGCTACATCATGGGGGGTGAGAAGCGCTGCAACCTCCGCCAGCTCATCGAGGCGAAGATGAAGGCGGAGCGGATCGTCTGCAAGGATATCCGGGAGCGGGAGTGCAAAGGCCACCCCCTCGTCGACCGCTCGCAGGCGAAGCTCTTCGTCGAGGAGTTCCGCGCGAGCGAGGGGACGGAGTTTTACCTCTCCCTCGAGGACGCCGCGCGCACGCAGCTCTACGGCCACCTCCGGCTCCGCTTGCGCGACGACGCCGCGGATCCGCGGCGGTCGATCCTCCCCGTCCTCGTCGGCTGCGCGCTGATCCGGGAGCTCCACACGTACGGCATGCTCGTCGCCGTCGACGCGCCGAATCGCGGGAACGCCGCGCAGCACGTCGGCGTCGGCGCGGAGCTGATGCGGGCCGCGGAGGGGATCGCCCGCGCCCGGGGCTTCCGCGCGATCGCCGTCATCGCCGGGGTGGGGGTGCGGCGGTATTACGCCCGCCTCGGCTACGCGCTGCGGGAGACGTACATGGTGAAGTCCCTCGACGACGACGCCGCGGCGATCACGCAGGAGCAGGTGATGACGGATACCGACAACAACCCCGAGCCCGGGGGGTTCTTCGGCGCCCTCAAAAGTCTTTTCCGCCGCGTCGGGGGGACGTAGGCACGTGGAGACGGGGAGGGGGAGGGGAGGCGGTTCCGCCCGCGTGCGAGGCGGCTTCTCAAGGATGCGTGTGGACGGCCTGGGCGTGGGGTAGGTTGCCGGGAATCCCTTTGGTTTCCCCTGACCGCGAGGATGAGGTGGATGGAAAGAAAAGGGGAGGTGGTACGCGGGTGTGCACGGCTTCTGGTTCGTGGATCCTGGGGCATTTTTTTTTTTCTTTTTTTTTTTCGTTAACCCGACTTTCATAAGACGTTTGGGTTCTCGTTGCGCTTTCTTATGGGGGATGGAATCCATAACGGGTCTACGTAAAATGGACGCCGCGTTTCTTTTTTTTTTCTCATCGGCTCTCTCTACGTTGAATAATAAAGGGAGGCTCGCGTTCGTTTAAGTAAGCAACTAAACCGCTAAACAAACCCATGCTCACATATTTATATAGAGAAGAACTTCCTGGTGTAAATCATGTTTGTCTTCTCCCTGTTCCGTTTTACCTTTTGGAGGGAGCGGATATGCGTGTACGGTACAGCATCCAAGGGGGAGGGGGAGAAGGGGTTGCACACGATACTTGTTTACTCTGCTTTTTTTTCCATTTTTCTTTCTCGCGATCTTTCACGGGGATCGGGCGAGGCATAGCTAGGATTCACTTCATCTCTCTTTTTTTTTTTTTTATGTGGGCTTCAAAGAACACTACCACAGCAGTCCATCAGTCGTGAAAGGTAGTGTAGAGCCGGTGACGTCCGCTTCCTTTGCCCTTCTCTTTTGAACACGGGGAGTGCTCCGATCGTGGTGGATTCCAACTCCGGGTTTCCGCGACCGAGCCTCATCTTCGCCTCCCGCGATGCGTGCGTGGCGCGTTTCCGACGGCCGTCTCCGCGTCCACGGCGGCGGTGGGCTTTCCTTTGGGCTCCCCTCCCCCCCCTGCCCTTCCGCGCGGCCGTTCAGCCTTTTCGGGTGGGTGTCTT